ACATAAAAGATGAAAAATCGAATCCAGATAAATAAATTGTATTTATATAGCTAAATATATTGCCTTGGGTTTTGGTAAATTTTAAAAGCAGTAAGTTCAATAAATGAAACATACCAAATAATTGTTTTTAACAAAAAAATGCAGCATCATTATACTATGATAATTGGATAATGAATCAATTCAACTTTCGACTTTAGATTTTAGGGAGGGGTATTTAAGAGGGCTTTAAATTTGAAGTCAGTTTTATTTGGTGAAAAAACAATTAAAATTTTCATTAAAAAAGATCATAACAAATCTAATATACAACATAATATATATTTAAAAAGAAATTACAAAATTAAAATTAATTACAAAATTAAAAAAAAAACACCGAAAAAAAAGCAGCAACCAAAAAGTCATAAATATTTCTACTGATAGAAAACATTTAAAACCTTTTGGTTGCTGTTTTTTCTTCGGTGTCTCATAACACCCCGGTATGGATGAGCCCTCCATTTAAAGGAGGGCTCATCCATTCCGCCATTATCTTTCCATTTGTTAAAGGATCTCTCTGAGAGAGGTGCCGGGTGTTAGGAGCGGTAATTTTTATACTCTTCGAATGATAAGGAATCTAAAGTTACAAATAAAAGAATATAATAAAAATTATACATTTGCAATTATTTAAAAAAAAATTTTCTATTGTCGACAATTAACGTTTTCTCGAAAGCCTATTTCTTTCATTTTGTAAATGATTAATTTCATCTCGCCTAAGTCTATTTCTTTCATTTCGTTTACGACTATTTTCAACACGCCTTATAGCACTTACATGAATTTGTAAATACATAACTTCATCTAGACTATCATTCATTTCAATGTCATCCTTTTGATTAAACATATTTATCAAAGCAACACTAATTATTTCTTTTTTTTACTACTCTAAAGTTAACAATAAAATAAAAAAACTTAATAAATAACTAAAAAAATCTTACTCAAAAAATTAAAAAAAAAAATTCTTACAACAAATATATAAAGAATCCAAACTAATGCAAAATAAAATTAATTTGCCATCATCAAAAGTAATACAGTTTTCTTAAGTTTATTTGATAGAAATTAAAAAAAACCTGCAACCATATTAGCAAAAACTTAATACAAAAAGTTAAAATATATTCTGTCTCTAATAAAGAAAAAAAAATTTAGAAACAAACAACATATCTTCGCAGACAGCGTCATAAGGCATGCGTTGGGAGAAAACATTGAACAAAACGGGTAATAAAACTTTTTAACGCGTTATGTACAATAGAAAACGGGTTATTAACGCAGGTTTATAAATTTTTTCCCCCAACACACTATTACGCTGCCGCAACTTCAAGGGTATATATATATATATATATATATATATATATATATATATATATATATATATATATATATATATATATATATATATATATATATATATATATATATATATATATATATATATATATATATATATATATATATATATATATATATATATATATATATATATATATATATATATATATATATATATATATATATATATATAGAACTATTTATTAGCGAAAACATACGAAAACCAAAATTTTTTATATAATATATATAGTATATTTGATAAATACTTCTATAATTTTTTTGGTTCAACAACTTGATTATGATTAATAACAAATCTGTAAATATAAATTTTCTTATGATCTAAATCTTTATAAATTAGATATTTTATCTTATATCTTAGTTTTAAACTAAATGAATCATATATATTTTAACTATAAATTAAATCTTTATAAATTAGATATAAATAAAAAAACAAACATATAATAACACAATTATAACCTAAACCAAAACTCAATCATGCAAGACGAATTATTAAACTTTTCAAAAAGAATAAAAAACATATTTTTTTTCAAAGAGCCAAAGTATTAACAATACTATAGATAAATTTTATTTATAACAAAATGTTGTCATAGCTTTTATCCCAATTATTAAAAACATTTGAATACATGAAACTACCCATTAATATCTTTTAATGGAAGACATTGTCTAAGAATTATAGTAATCTATATTTTCAAAATTCACATGTATAACACGAAGCTTTAAATTTAAAAGTGCAATTTAAAAAAGATTACAATAAACTAATTACTTATAAAATTTTAAAAAGATTTTATAAATACTCAATGTCTACTTAGACATTTTGAAAAGATGACGATTTTGAAAACTTCAATTTTTAAATTTATATTTTAAAAAACTAAAACTTTATCTCTACCCCAAAGAAAACAGATTTATATTGAAAAGTATTTTTATTTCTTTTTAAAAATTTAAAAATGCTTTTAAACTTTCTCCCTCCAATATAATTATATAATATATATAGTATATATGATAAATAAACCTCCACAATTTCCTTGGTTTAACAACTCAATTATGATTAATAACAACTCTGTAAACTTAAATTTTCTAATAACCTAAATAAAATACATATAGACAAACATAAATAACACAATTAAATCCTAAACTAAAATTCATTCATGCAAGACAAAAATATTTTATATTTATTGAAGAGCCAGAAACATGTTTTTTTTCGAAGAGCAAAAGTATTAACAATATTAAAGATAACTTTTATTTCTATCAAAATTTTCAATAAAACTTAAATTAAGATAAATTTATAACAAAATGTTGTCATGGCTTTTATCCAAATAACCAAAATTATGTGAAAGAATGAAACTACCCATAAATATATTTTAACGCTAGACACAATATAAGAATTAAAGTAATCTATAACACGACGCTTTAAATTTGAAATTTAAATTTAAAAAAGATTACAGAAAATTAATTACTTTTAAATATAAAAAAAATTTGAGATTACCTTTAATTTTAAGCTACTAAACATTATCTACTTAATGTCAACTCGGACATTTTGAGTTCGTCCTTGAGTGGTTGAAAGGAAGTCTTTAAGAAAGCAAGCGGTAAAGATAAGTCTAGAAACTACTTAAAAAGTGTATTTTACAGATACAGAACCGTACCGTAACTATAAAACAATACGCGTAATTATGCGCACTAATAATAATAGTAATAAAACTCAATCGGCTATTTTATATATATATATATATATATATATATATATATATATATATATATATATATATATATATATATATATATATATATATATATATATATATATATATATATATATATATATATATATATATATATATATTAATGTCAACTTGGACATTTTGAGCTCGTACCATGAAAGTTTGAAAGGAAGTCTTTAAGAAATCACGCGGTAAAGAAAAGTCTAGAAACTACTTAAAAAATGTATTTTACAGATACAGTTATATATATATATATATATATATATATATATATATATATATATATATATATATATATATATATATATATATATATATATATATATATATACATATATATATATATATATATATATATATATATATATATATATATATATTTATATATGTATTTATATATATATATATATATATATATATATATATATACACATATATATATATATATATATATATATATATATATATATATATATATATATATACATATATATACATATACATATATATATATATATATATATATATATATATATATATATATATATATATATATATATATATATATATATATATATATATATATATATATATATATATATATATATATATATATATATATATATATATATATATATAATATAAATATATATATATATATATATATATATATATATATATATATATATATATATATATATATATATATATATATATATATATATATATATATATATATATAACAATGAATGTTATTAGTTATTAATAACTAACGGGTAATATATTACACGATTATTAATATATTAAAATTTTCTATAAAGTTTTGAAACAATATGGCATATGAAAACTATATAGAGTTTTTATAGAATGTCTGTTAATTTCTATAGATATTGCTATAAAACTTTTTTTTCTATAAAAAAAAAAAAATAGAAAAAAAAATTTCAATAGGAATTTTTATAGATGTTAACAGAAACTCTATAGAAATTCTATAGAATTCTATCGAATTTGTATAGGCAATACATTTCGAAAAAATATAAGTGTAATTCTATAGAACTCTTTTTCCGGCGCTGACACTCTAGAAATTTTTCATGAATGGAACAATATTTGTTTTATATCAAGAAATAGCTTAAACTAGAGAACTTTACAAAGTATCTTTATTAGACTTTCAATAGGTCTCTTGAAGTTTGTTTAGTTAGCTTTTAATTTTTATTAAAAATAAATATAATTGTCTACATTAAAAGAAATTTTGTGCTTTTTAGTTTTAAGTACGGCAGTGTTTTTTTTATCATGTTAAATTCTTTATAATTCAAAATAATAGTAAATCTGGTTTAATTTTTTTTTTTTTTAATTTATTTTTATGCTCTTGTTAGAATTTCCTTTAAACAGTATGATAAAAAGAGTTTAAATAGGAAAATTCACATAAACGGTTTTTTTCAAATTATATAAGGCTGTGCAAAGTTAACCAAAATCCCGGTTAACTTAGGACATAATTAAGTCAACCATAAAAAATACTTCTTAAATGGTTAAAAAAAAAAATTCCTATAATTAAAGTTTTAAGATAAACTAAACTAAATTTTATATATATAGGAGAAGTTTAAAGCCAGATTTTAGAAACACAAAGAAACAAAAAACAAATTTTTTGCGCAAAGTTTCCTAAAGTTACGACACGGAGTTTATATTTGCTCTTTGCATAAGCTCAAGTATAATTTCAAATTTTAAGTAAGACTTTAAATATTGTTGTTTGCTTCTTGCACTCCTCCCTAAAAATCTCAATATATTTTTAAAAAATTTAGCTTATGTTAGGCATTTATCACAGTTCAAATCAGAATTAATTACAATGTTATTCTAATATACTTAAAAATAATTTAAATAGGAAAATAATTTAAATTTTTTTAAATTTTTTTGTTTAAG